AATATTTATATATATAAAGAATGTACTCGTCATTTTATATATATATATATATATATATATATATATAGTCATCCACAGACAGACTGTTTGGCTGTATGACAGCTCTTCAGTGTGGCTAGATATCCGGCTAGGATTGAAACCCGGCTGAATTGGCGTCAGTCGGAGATTCTATCACTAAGCCGTCGGCGCACGGCAAGGTTGACGGTGAATTTTAGCGTATACACACACACACACACACACACACACACACACACACACATAATATATATATATATATATATATATATATATATATATATATATATATATATATATATATATATATATATATAACATATTATAAAATCACTACATAACTTGCAATCTTGTTTCGACCCTTCTAGTGTCTTATCAAGTGATGATGAACGGAAAATAAATGTTTTAAGAGTTCAAAAGCCAGCCAAACCCACTCAGTAGGGGAAACTTTGTTACGTCACCTATAATGACCAATCAGAATACAAGTCTATGATAAATTAAAATAACATGAAAACATACTCTACTATAAGTACAATCTATTATTGCATTTTGGGTAAGATTAGATTAAATTAAAAATCAATATAAAAATTAAATTTTAAGATTTTAAATTTGTAATTAAAACTTTTAAATTTCAAGTATCAAATTCTAAAGTTAACTGAGCATCATGTTTAATATTATTTCAAAATTATAAAGAATTGAAACTAGGAGAAAAATATAGTTTATTGTTCTCAGCTAAGTGCCTAATTTATCAGTTACGTTCGACGGTGATGAAAAAAAATATCACCGATCGCTTTACATATTTGATACATTGTTGAAGCTTAAATAAGCATGGAATAATACAACACAAAATGTACGTTAACAAAATGTATTGAAACAAAGAATAGGTACACAATATTTACAGTTAGTTTGGTATATTCTTGGGAAGACTGTTCCTGCATAATGGGTTGACTAAATCGCAGTCGGGCAGAGTCTCTGGATTCAATTTCTTAATCTCTACTATCTTCCCCGTCTTCCGGTACCAACCCATATTTATATGGTCGGTAGTCCGCTTATGTAAATTAGGTGTATCATACACAACACTAATGGAAATCTGAATTCAAATAATAAGGTAGGTAGGGAAAAGGACATTTCAAATGACAGGACAAACTCATTCACAAAATAATACACAAACACGTATTTATAATAAGCATATGTGCACGCAAATACAAGAAAGTATATATACACAGGAAACAGAGGAAAGAAAAATTGAAAAAATATAAACAAAAAATACAATAAGAAAAAAGAAGGAAAATGAAGACAAATATACATATAAAAACACACAAGAGAAAATTATGTCAGACATATGTATAAACATGTAGAAGCAATCACACGCTTACAAATATACGAATAATCAGACAAAATACAAACATAAATTCACTAAGTCTACGCAAAACAACTATCCATATTTTACATACACAAACAAACATATAGATAAACAGAGAATCTAATAAAAAATAAGCAGTGCATGCATATCTAAGATGCATACATATATTTAGATGAAATGCACATATCAGGCTATAAACAAAGCAAAGAAAGAACATATAAACATATACACACATATATACATACACACACTTATACATAAATATACATAAATACGACCAACTAAACTAAATAATTATCTATGTCAGATTAAATCGCTAGCAAATAAGGGTAGGTTATAATTAGCGTCTGTGGTCAGGTTGCAATAAAAAGTATATATAAATAAACAATATAAAGAACCAATAAATAATAATATTACTAACTTACAAAACCATTATATTAAAATTCATAATATTATTACTTATATTAGAAGGTAAACAGTGAAATATATCTACAGTTTACGGTAAATCCATTCCTGTCTTTAAATTTAATAATTTCCATTTTTTTCGTTGAGACAAATATAACATGTTACTTATGGAGAATTACAGGTTCTAGTTTCCATTTAACTGTAGGTGTTTTATTTTTGTTCTCCTTTAAACTCTAAAAGTACCTCAAAAACGAAGTACTATTACGTTTTCCCAAAAATTCGTAAACACTTGCAAAAAATTGAAATTTTACTCGCCAAGTAATAACAAAAACAACAAAAATTATTCCTCAAAATAAAGACCATCATTTTCCAAGACTTTCTGCCATCGATTTGCAAGCTTTCGGATCTGGTGAAAGTACCATTCAGCTGGCTTCGAACCAAAGAATTCCTGACACGCTTCCTCGACTTCATCCAACGATTCGAATCGGCGGCCCTTCAGAAAGTGTTGCATTGAGCGCGAAAAGGCCGTAATCTGATGGAGCACAGTCAGGACTGTAGGCTGGATGTGGCAGATCCTAAACGCCGTCCAGCTCTTCAAAATTGTCTTTGGTCTTCCTGGCGGTGTGTGGCTTGGCATTGTCCTGCTGGATCAAAGCGCGCTTTCGGTTGATCAGAGCCGGGTACTTTTGCTTCAACTTTTCGTAGACCCGCTCCAGTTGCTGACAGTTTTAGTTCGGCACTGATGGCACGACCATTCGGAACCAACTCAAAATGCACGATTCCTTCAAAGTTCTACCAAACGCACAACATGACTTTCTTGCCGAATCGATCTTGTTTTGGAACCGACGGTGTCTCTTGCCCTTTCTGAACCCATCGCTTGTCTCGATTGTGCTGGACCAGATAGACCCATTTCTCGTCCGATGTCACAATAAGCTTCCAAAAACCCTCGTTCAATGGATTGCTGAGCAATTGACGGCAAATTTCAACTCGTCTCTTGGCTTGTGCTTCGGTGAGTTCGTGCGGATCTTGGTGCAGCTTTTTGTGAACAAAATCAAGTTGCTTCAATTGTCGGTGAATTGTCGATTTGCCAACTCCAAGCTCATCAGCCAATTCTCGAGTGCTCAATGAAGACGCAATGTCCAACCCGGTTTACAAGTCTCCACCATCTAACTTTAACGGCCGTCGCGAACGAGGCTTATCTTCGAGACTCATGTCGCCAGAATCGAAACGCTTATACCACTTAACAATATAAACGCAAAAAACAATTAAATAAAAATTTTTATGTAATAAAATTTTTTCAAAATTAACAATAAAGTAAAAAAAAAACAATTAAAAATTGCATAACAATTTAATTTTTCGCAAGTGTTTACGAACTTTTGGGACAACCTAATATTTTTATAAATACTATTGTTGAAGGATAGTACATGTTATTACCATCTGTTTTTTTACGAGTTTATAGTGCTTCCAATGTAGAAGTTTTTATTACACGTGTTTTCGAGTGTAGAAATAGTAGAAAAAAAAGTCAGGGAAATAGCTAAGCTATTATTTTATAGTGGGAAATCATTTGAAATCCTGCAGTTACAACACGTATCATTGCTATACGTGTTTGTATAAGTGCTGCTTTCCGAATATTTATATTTGTTGAAGACTTTATTGTTGTGTTTTTTAATGATTGCCGCAAGGTTTTCCGCACAACGATAGGTTAATTTGAATGCATTCTTATTAAATATTTTACTAAGCGGATTGGTATTGGGAAATGAGGTTTAGAAAATTTTGCTCTAATTTAGTTTTAACTATTAGATTGAAAGGGGTTATAAACAAAACGAACTTCCTAGATCTTCACTTTTTATTATGTTCATAAATAATGGGGTCTCTATACTTAAGAGTAGTACGTTTATAACGACCATTTCTAAGGGCAGAGTTGGAAAATTCACTACGCTTATCAAAACCTCGGGTCTGAACGGTTTACGCTGATCCTAAATTTGAAGGAAAAGGACGTGTGTTTAATAACTAACGGGGAGATGTATAATCTCTTAGAAATATATTTCAATTGAGCACTTTGAGAGATAGGCTGATTCTATAAACAACAGCCACCTGTGCTCATGCATGTAAAATGAATTAGAGCACTCTAACTGATTGGTGTCAGTTTACATTCGTAAAAGCCATACGCTTGAATTAGCTGGCACTATCGGCCGAGTGAGGTTGGGTTAGCACTAGAAACTCTGGCTGACAACGAAACGGTTGGGTTTCGGTCCTTGCGGCATTCGGATATCTACTCGTATTAAAGAGCTGCGAATCTGTATTGTCTGTGAATTATATATATATGTATATATATAGAGAGAGATTCACTGTGTACATATGATTTGTTTTTTTTTATCCGACAGATTTTCATCAATTTAAAGGTTATTTTTAGTAGCGACACATATTCTGTAGACTCTTAGTTTTAATATTCGAGCCGGTAAATGAAAATAAATATACACTTTAAAATAAACGGAGCATCTTCTCAAATATGGGTATTCATTAAAAAAACGTTTAAAGTGATAAAAATCTATATATTTCTCATTAATATAAAAAGCCTATATATTTCTCATTAATATAAAAAGCCTATATATTTCTCATTAATATAAAAAACCTATATATTTCTCATTAATATAAATGTTATTATTTGTAAGGAAGACACGTATTTGAGTTCCTAAACGTTTTTTTTTTGTATGTGTCCACACTAAAAATAAGCTTCATTATAATGAGTAATACTGTTAGATAAAAATCCATTCAATATATATATATATATATATATATATATATATTATAAATTAATTGATTTAAAATATGTTTTTTTCGCTACACAGTTATTGCTACGTTTTGAAAAATACATCCCTACCCACTACCAAAACGTAGCAATAACTGATAAATTGAAAATATAGAAATATTGAACACCCAGACACCCCTAGTCTAGCAAAATAGATTTATCTGTAACCTTGGAAACATGAATTTTGTTTTAGCTGTGTATTTAAAACCCAGTAATTTTAAACGTTACTACAAAATTCGCTGGAGGATGAAATGGAACTAATGTCTTTAATTTAATTACAAAATTAAATTCGGGACTTTTAGCTTCCATTTTTTAAACATGGTTAGAACTGTGTAGCGAAAAAAACATATTTTAAATCAATTAATTTATAATATTAATGCTCTGTAAATTTACATCGAGCACTATTTTGTAAAAATAATAATATCTATAAGAACACTGGATTATATATCTTACTGTTCTTTCTTTTTATATATATATATATATATATATATATATATATATATATATATGTGTGTGTGTGTGTGTGTGTGTGTGTGTGTGTGTGTGACAATGCTGTATTTATGGGTTAAAGTGATCAATATCAGGCATAGAACGTATTTTAATATAAAAGTGGATATTGATATCAATACCGATAGAACTCTGAGATCTATCTATCTATCTATCTATCTATCTATCTATCTATCTATCACTGTTTCCCTCTATCCAAATTTTCTCTTATCTATCTTTGCATCTATTTATCACAGTTTTCTACTCGTCTCTTTCTGCCAGTTTTCATCTATCTGCTTATCCCTACTTTTATATATCGGAGCTTGCTCTTATTTATGTATGCACCCAATCTGCATCGGTCTTTTCTTACCTATGTGTCTATCTACAACTATGTTGTTACCATTCAGTAAAGTATAGTTTCTGGAGGGTATTCATTCTTGTTAGCAGGTGTAAAGAAGGCCCCATATATTAATGAGAATCGTTGTTAATTATGAAATTCTACTAAAAATACTAAAAATATGCGATTAAATCATGCTGGGTACTGCAATGAGCCTAGAGGCCTGTGATATTAAGTGCAAGAAAACTGTTGTGAAATTGCAATAATAAGTATTAACAATACATACATATATATATATATATATATATATATATATATATATATATATATATATATATGTGTGTGTGTACACATATATATATATATATATATATATATATATATATATATATATATATATATAGGGTAAGGGAAAAAATTTAACAAAATTTAGGGGCGTTTCCTCACACCAAACAATTCCATATAAACATATGTCCGTGAAAACTTTATTTTTTAGTTATTAATTTTGAAGAAAGTTTACGCTAAATGTTTTAGATTAGGTTCCGTTTGTCATTCGTGTACATCAGTGGCTAGTCTGTCTTTAAAATTTAACGTGTTTAAAAGTGAGTTAAGTGAGATTGTTTTATTTAACTATGTCATCATATAAATATCTTGAAAAGGCAGATATGATTTTCGCATACGCTAAAATAGTCATGGACGCGAGGTTACACGGCTATATCAGTTTGCGTTTCCAGGCCGAAGGCCTCCGAATCATTGCTGGTGTTTATCGTCGGGTTGTTCAGACAGGAGCCGTGATACCACAAATTTGTATGCCTAATAACGAGGAACATATTCTACAGGCTGTCGGAGATCATCCAGGTATTATCATACGCCAAGTGTCCTTAGCATGTCGTACAACTCATAGTAGCGATGGAGGATACTCCATGAGCAGATAGATATCCCTCTTATAGACTTGCAGGTATGTCTTGATTAACCAATTTTTGATACAATTTAGCGTTGATCTGAGATTTAATTGGTTAATCAAGAGATGCCCACAAGTCTGTTTTTTATTCTGACCTTTTGGTATCCCTGCTTAACTTTAAGAAAAAGAGGTAACACTTTGTATTTAAATTTCCTTAAGAATCATTTAATCGCCAGTTACTTATCATCGTTTGAAAAAAAGTACAATCATATTATTGAAACATGAAATCTTTGTGTAGCGATTTCTATATGTTTTTATTATAATCTCTTATGATAATTGTTGTGGATTCCGTGAATGGAATCCTGCACAAAACAAGGCCAGTAATTGAGATAGAAAAATAAGTGTATTAAACGTAAGAATTGAAGATTAGTAGTCCAGGAATGCGAGTTAGTAGAAAGTATATGTAAGTAAAGTCATAATCACATCTCTCTCTCTCTCTCTCTCTCTCTCTCTCTCTCTCTCTCTCTCTCTCTCTTACCCTTATTTCTCGTCTGTTACCCCTCTCTTTAGCTCTAACGTTCGTTCCATACTCTCATACTTACACTCTTTCTAAATTCTATTTTTTATTTCCGGAGTTTTTTTTTCTGTTTTCTTTTTGAATTTGTAGGTCTGATGAATTGGATCGTATTTACGATTCCAATGGAATAAATTATGACCATGGAATATTAGTGTTTAAGCCTTTTTATTATATCCTTACTCTGTCCAGGACATTGAGTTCTACCTGGATTCTATCCTCTTGGAATATTTTTTTTAACACAAATATATATGTATGTGTATGTATGTATATATATATATATTTTGCATATGTATGTGTATACTTACCACTAATATTATCTATCTATCTATCTATCTATCTATCTATATATATATATATATATATATATATATATATATATAATGAGAACAGATGGAATATAATTTCACTGTCCGTACCATTTAATTTAAAAGAGGACTCAATACAGAGTAGAACTAAATATCATATGTTAAATATGTACGGGTGTTTAATTAGTAATATTAATATCTTGCACTGATTAGTTAGTCTTTTTAACATTTTGCATTGATTAGTTAGTATTATTAACACCTTCTATGGATGCTCTTTACTTAACGGTTGCATATTTGTCAAATCATTTTTTTTATTTATTATCTTTTATTGTTTTTTTTTTTGTTTTTTTCAAAAGGTCAAGTTATTTATCAGTTTCTTAAAGGGACTTTTTATTTATCAACTACAACATTTTATGTAGGTAGCTGACCGGGTATATAACTAGTTATGTTAAATTACCTCCATACCTCTTTAGATTTTACTTCTTAGGAATGTTGAACGGCAGATTTATATAGATCATACGAAATAATCTAATCATTTGTATCTGTCCATAATAAAATTGTCTAGGCTTTATATGCAGGCAAATTTATTCGGTGAGTTTGAATTTAGCGTAGGCAGCATTCGATTGGTTAACCACAAGCCTATTTTTAATTTATTTTTCTCAAGAAAAAAAGAGGAAGTATTCTGCCTTTTGAAATTAAAATAATCGTACCCTCGCCAGTAGTTTAACATCACCCGGGGAGACAGATTTTAGTACTGAAATATAATTGTAACTGTCTAGCAATTTTAACATGTTTTTGTATTAATATCAAAAAAAATATATATATATATATATATATATATATATATATATATATATATATATATATATGAAGAAAATATACTGAAAAAACAAACAAAAATCCTAATATGCGATTATGCTGTTTTAATGTTTAATATCGATGTCGGACGTTTCGGTCCAATAGACCATCTTCAGGACATATTCATAAAACATAATTAACATAAACCATATACAATTCAACATGAAAAAGACGATGGACATAAAAAGCAATACCAATCCAAACAGATAACTGAAATCTTTTATAAGATCAGCGTTCCGTTTAGATTTCAGTTATCTGTTTGGATGTTTCATAATTTCAGCAAGTTTCTATCTGCCATGTTTTCAGATAACCTACTCGACATCAAACTCAACGCGTTGGATGGCCTTTCTTGTTATTCGTTAGTAGTCTACATTTGCATAATTGTTAATCGTAATTTCCCGAAGGGGCTATAGAATTTTTTTTTTTTTTATCACAGAATTATTATTTTGTTTTATTAGTTTCTTGGATCTCTTTAAAATAATACTATATATATAATACTATATATATCGAAAATGTGTCATTTTTTTGTGCAAGATCATTACACTGTCTTGCTTTTCATGCAATAAGGTAAAATTGTCATTGTTTATGCTTAGGTAGGCTGGATCTGTTTGACGTCAATAAAATGCAGCATGATTAAAAGAAAAACAAATTGTAGATCAAACAAATGATTTATTTTATGGAAATATTTCGACTAGCAATTGCTAATCTTGGTCACTCCTTAATTTGATTAAAACAGTGCAAAGAAACTAGAACTCTTATGAATTAAAATCAAGGAAAAAACCGAACTGATGACGACGTTTACAAAATAAGAAGTTGAGGCGTTAAAAAAACGTTGTTGTTTTCTTTTTTCTCTCTACAAATTGCCATTTTTTCCCTGTCTTGTTTTTCTTTGGAGCAGAGAGGTCCAGATAGGATAGGGGTTGTGCTTGCATCTATCCTATTGCAGGCATTTTTTGTATTTGCTACTACCATTTGTTTAGCTACACTTCTTTGATTGAAATGTTTTTGATTCGGCAATTTTATTTCCGGATGGTCAAAGTCAATTCTGTGACCTTCTGTAATGGCATTTAATTCAATCGCTGAATTTTTTTTTCCAATTTTTGTTCTTTGTTTTCATTTGAAATTATCTTATCACAAAGTCTCCGATATTCATCCAGTCGTTCTTTCAATGATCTTGAAGTCATGCCCGCATAAGTTGTTGAGCAGTTCATGCAGTTAATTTTGTACACCAGAATGGCACTACTTGTAACTGCCCTTTCATCTTTTAATCTGATGAGGGTCCTTCCTATTGTGTTGAAAGAGGAGAATACAACTCGTATATCTATCTGTTTTAAAATTCGTTTGAGAGCTTCTAATGTGTTTTCTTCATACGGTATGTTCATCGTTAAATCTTTTTTCAGAACAAGAGTCTATACTTTTCCCAATGACATTGTTGTTCATTCTGTCTTGTTATTGGTACAGTAATCATTTAGGATATCCATTCTTTTGCAGGGTATCTATCATATTCTGCTGCTCAAGTTTGTTATCCAATTGATCCGAACAAATTGTCTCTTCTCTTTTGAAAAATTCTATTGCAATTCCTTATTTTGTACTAAGGCTGTGACACGAATTAAAATCCAAATATTGATCTGTAGATGTGGGTTTACTATAAACAGTCGTTTTTAATTCTCCCCGTTGATTTCTCGTAAACAAAAAAATCTAAAAAAGGCAGACTCATGTCTTTTTTTTTAATTCCATTTCTATTTTGATATGTTCGTTTTGATTATTGAGGAATTGTAAGGAATCCACATATTGACGTTTCATTAAGACAAACGTGTCCTCAACGTACCTCCACCATGTTTGGATTGGCTTATCATAATTAAGCAAAGCTATAGATTCAAAATTTTTCATACAAAGATTCGCTAGGATAGGGGAAATTGGCGAACCCATCGGAAGTCCCATTATATGTCTGTACAAAACTTCGTTGAAAGTAAAATAGGTGCTATCGAGACAGAGGTTTATCAACTATGTCGTTTAAATCATCCGTTGGAACTACAAGTTTTTTTTCTTTTAATTATGCAACTAACAACGGAGACAAGCATCTTAACTTTAAAATGCAGTAGAAATTCAGAGTTAAAATATCAGCTAAGGACTCATTGCATTCTACTGATCGAATGCCAACTAAACATTTGGGATGAAAGGGTTATATATGAAGAACTTTTTGTATTCTACAATCAAATGCCCACAAATAACTTGTAAGATTGTAGCGTCATGTCAACTTATCGAGGACCCTAGGATCAAATGAACTTCTAGAATTATAAAAGCAAAAGTCAACTAAGAACGTGTAGAATCAAATATCAACTAACGACTAATTGAACCCTAAAATCAAATGTCAACTAACTAGAATTCTAGAATCAAATGTCAACTAAGAACGTCTTGGATTCTTTCGATCGAATGTCAACTAAGAATGTGTAGGATTGTATGAAGAAATTTTCGGGTTCTAGGATCAAATGTCAACGAAGAATTTGTCGGACACAAGGATACATGTGAACGTTTTTATTTTTATTTTTTATTTTTAATCATTTCAACCCAGGCAAGTTGATAATGCCACTAGGATGCACAGGTGGGGGTTTCAGCGGATAAAAGTGAATGACAAGATTTATTAAATGTGCAGAGAAGTAGAATAAAGGAACAGGATCAAGAAAGACAGAAGATGGCATTTGACATTGAATTTACATTTCTGATGATTGTAGATGGCAAAGAAGCAAGAAATTGGAAGGGAGTTCCACAGGCGGGAAGTGCAAGAAAAGAAACTATTAGAATAGAACTGATGGTTGCATCTAGCTAGTTCGACAGGTAAACGGCGAGTTAGTTGCACATCTAGTAGGAAATTTATTAAGAAATTCTAGTATTCAAGGATCAAATGTGACCTAAGAACTTCTAGAATTCTTAGATCAAATTTCAACTAAATATATGTAGGACTGTAGGGTAAATATGAAGAAATTTCTGGAGTCGCGGATCGAATTTCGACTAAGAAGTTCTTGGATAGTAGGATCAAATAGCAATGAAGAACCTCAAGGATTCTGTCAAATGTCAACCCACGACTTCTCGGATGCCAGGATCAAATTTCATCGAAGAACGAATAGGATTGTAGGGTCAGATGAATGACTTTTTGGCTTCTGTGATCAAATATAAACGAAATTCTAAGATACTAGTCTCACCTGTCAACTAAGGACATTTAGGATCTGAGAATCAAATCTCAACTAAGAACTTATATAATTCTAAAGTCAAATATCCACTAAGAACGTGTAGAATTTTTAGATGAAGTATGAAAAACCATTTAGATTCTAAGATCAACTACCAACGAATAACTTCAAGAATTCTAGTGTTAAATATCAACTAAGAACTTCTAGAATGCTAAGATCAAATTTCGTAATTGTTGAATTATCGTGTCAAATCTGAAGAACTTTTGAGATTCTAGGATCAAATGTCAACAAAGTACTAGTAGGAGACTAGCGAATAAATATCAACTAAATTTCTAAGGTTCTAGTATTAAATAGCATCCATCAACTTATTGAATTCTTTGATCCTACATGAATTAACAATTTATAAGATTCTAGAAACAATTGTCAGCATATTTTGAGGTTCTGGAATCAAAGTAATTTACAACAATAGAAAATTCCAGTAAACAAGGATGAATCATTCGCATTCCATTTGCATTCCATTAATATAAGTTCCACTTGATCAGCTTCTTCCGAAAGACTGCTGCTTTTGGAACCAGACTCCTGGTACGATGTTTCCCCGATCACTGGAATCTTGATCTCTTCACGTCTAGGGTTAACCATTGCTTT